GGGGCAGTGTCAAGAATCATGGAAGGACCCACTTACCTTTTCCACCACTGGTTTTTTCTTCCTAAATTGCTCATTAACAAATCACTATTGGTGATAAAACGCAGCTGCAGGGAGGGGGGAGGCATTTTTCCGCCCGACTGACGCCGCCCCGACCGATTACGACGATATTTATCATAAGTCCGTATGGGAAGGCAAAAAAATTGGTTCTGTATTCCCGTGCCGCCTCTCCTTACATATGGAATTGTTTGTGCCTCTCTCCCTTCGAGACCCCGCAGTCAGCACAGCGCTCGCATCTACGCCCTGGTTTGCCCGCAGATATGGACTAAAAACACATCCGACTGACAAAGTCGTGCTTGCGGACTTAATGGTTGGTTCCAACTCCTCTCAGCTTGAAACCTCGGCATTGTTTATGGCTAGAGGGGACTAGGCGTTTGGTGGGTTAGTGTGCAATTCTTGAGCTTTAAGCCACGTTTAGGCCTCTGAAAACGACGACTAGTCGAAACGTTGGTTGAATGAATATTCCTAATATGAACGATGTTCTAATGAATACGAATGACCTAGGAACCTCGTGTCAGGAACAGAAGGTCAATACGATAGTTCGGTTGGATTTCTCTGACTCCCAGGTATTTTTGGTAACCTCAGGCTTTGTAGTCAGGTTAACTATTACCTCTCGAAGCAGCGGCAATACCTTATGGTGAAAATGAAGGGGGTAATGGTCGATGTGGTGATCTCATAGCGTAACGAAGAATTTAGCTTTCACTCGACGAACACGATCGTTACAAGGTGGTTAAGCCCACGCGACCACAAAATTGATTTCTTTCCAAAAAAGGAATACACATAGAAGAGGGGGTGGAACAGCAAGACTCCATGAGCTCCATGATAGATAGACTACTTCTCACGAAATGTGAACAGCGTCTGGGACTTGGTTTACCCATCCCGGACCTCCCGCTCTTGGCCCATGGTGACGCTCAAGAAGTGCCCTCGAGCCGGTAGACGTCACCGATACTCTTTGAGGCCCATTTAGGCTTCCCACACGTAGGTTCGACCCTGTTCTCAACAGATTCCAGCGTCCCACATCAAGAAAGCTTGTGGCAGCCCTCTAGGGATTATTCGTCTTCGTGAGTGCTTGTAGTCGGGAAACGAGGAAGTTTCCCCAAACTGTGATATTCAGTCTCGCCGAACCCAGTACGTCATCGTGACGAAAATTGTAGTGGTGAGAACATGAGGCTGTTTAAGGCCTCGCCGACCATAAAGAAATCGGAGAACGGAAAATAAAAGCGTGGAAGCATTGAGACTAACCGTTCATGGTTTCTTCGTTCTTCGCTGATTCACTAGACGTTTTCCCAGCGAAGAACTCCATGGAATCCTCGTGGCTCTGCATGGCTTCTGTGAGCTCCTGTAAAGGACAATTACTGAACAGGTTCCGGTGAAAAGTGCAGATCACGAAGCACGTACCTGATTTTTCATCCTTACGTCCGACAGTTCCTTCTCCAACTCCGCCTCAAGCATTTCATGCAACTTCAGCTCCATCTCGAAATGTTCTGATTCTCCATGTAATGAAGTGATTTGAGCCTGTAGAAGGGAAAATTGCATATATTCTCATGAATAAGAAAAAATATTATATATTACCTTCAATCCTAAGACCTCCTTCTCCATTTCAAGCATTGTATGACTGTACTCCGTGTTCAACTCCCGAGATAGGCGATTTTCAAGTTCCAGCTCCTGAAATTTTTATGGGGATAGGGACAATCAATGAAATGGTCCAGAGGAACTCGATAATTGTATCAAACAAATGCTTACCTTTAGTGCCATTCTGAGCTGGTCCACGTTGAGATCTGATTGTGATTGATGTTGAGAGGCTGAGGATGAGTCCGGAGTTGCAGAAGATTGCAGGGATTCAGGAAGGATCACACTTTGTCGCACTTCAGTCACTGATTGTTGCTGCACTTCAGCGAATTCGTTTCGGGGCCTCTCTCGATCTCGTACCTGCTTCAGCGCCGCCTTCAGCTTCTTCTTTTCCTGAAATTCATGGCAATTCATGAAAGCATGAAGCCTAGCAGTCACTCTCACTTCAAGACTGGAGCACTTAATATTGATTGCACTACAAAATTCGTAGTAAGTTTGGAGAGCTATTTTCAGGATCCGGTGCTAATGACCTTGGGGGAGATGGGCACACTCATAAGCTTTTTCAGTGTGTGTCTTTGTTCCTCCTTTTGTCGTCTTGGGATCGTGTGTCACCCTCCTAGTTCCCTCCCCTGATACGTTCGAGCTGTCGCGGAGTGTGGGGGTATAGCACATGTGAAACAGGAAAACCTGCGAAAAGCCGACAACCGGGAAAAATTTTTCCTAACGCCGCGAATTTCTCTCAAAGGCAATACGACCCCTCCTCTCCCCAGCGATCATACGGGACCCTCCCCTCTGTTGGGGAGTCCCCAACGATGACGTCCCCTGTGGGTTAGTGTTACACAGGCAGTAGTCGGAACAAACACTGTAAAGTAAAAGGTGTCAAGCTATGACTGAGGAAATAGCCTCCTGACGGGACGAGCCTTGGTTTCATGCCCTCACCGCGTTCAGCTATTGTCTGATTAATGCGCCACTTTTACAAAGGGTATGTTACACTGAATAAAAAGTGAGGGAATAATGACCCCCTGAAAGTGCCACATGTTCTCAACAGTTCAATACTTACTGCTTTGTCTTGCTCAATCTTCGCCTTTGCTTCCTGCAGCTCTTTCTCCAGACAGGTGATCTTCTCCTCGAATGCTGTTATGTATTCAAGATGTTGCACCTATAACTACCACATGAAAAGAAGGAAGAGAAAGAGAAATATGCGTGAGAAATGTAAACGAAGAGGGAAACATGCCTTGTTGATAACCTCGAGAGAGTTCTTTCTACTTTCAGATGAGCTTGATTCGCCTTCCAGAACTTTTTTGCACACCTCTTCCCACTTTGCTCTTCCAGATGATCGTTCAATCTCCAGCTGCAATGTTATGGTCGTTGTAAGGATACAAAGAACGTTTACCACCCACTCACAGTAATCCTAACTCTTCATATAATGCACTAACCTCTTCCTTCAGGTGTTCCAGCTCCTTTTTCACAGCAGTTGTTTCTTGAAGGCCAAAACGGGCGTTGTCAAGCTCGGACCGAGCAGCAAAAAGTTCCTCTTCCATTCGATTGATCCTATCCTGTGTTTCTCCCATATCAACTCTTTGACTCGCCAGATTCGCTTCGGCTTCCTTGAGCTCTGCTTGCACCGCCGACAGTTCCCTTTCCAATTCGTCAGACTTCTCCCGGGCTCGCTCCAGTTCGTCTTTAGTCTTCTTGAGCTCTTCTTCAACTGCAGCTTCCTAAAAGTAGGTTTTCATGAAATATCACAGATATACTAGCGAAGAGGGGATCCAACGTACTCATGCCAATCTTTTTCGCTATTTCCGTAGCTCTACTTCTTAATGTGGTCAAAGAGAACTCTCATCATACGCCCCCCCCCCTCTCTGAAAATTTTCTTCGATGGTACAACTCCTCTACCCCATCCTCCATCCCACCTACCGTTCAAGTGCTCTATCACCTCCAGGAATTTATTTTTCCAGAATTCCTCCATTTTTTTCTAGAAGAGTGCCATCGAGGGGAGGGGGGGGGGGAAGATACAGCGCATTTAAAACAGGAAAAAACGAGAAAAGAAAAGAACCGCAAAGAGCAAATGTGGCCCTACCACGTACGATCCCCCCCGACTCATAAAGAAAGTGCATGCCAGGGCTTGTCGTACGTTGGGGATCCCCTTGGCATGCATTTCCTTTGTGAAACACAGTTTTGAATAAGTTGCACTCGGGTCGTCAGGTAGAGCAGGTCACTGATTACCAATATTCCTGCTCCTCCTAAAAGTCCTGAAAGATCTGAATGTGCGCCAGTAATGCTCCCCTCCTAGTCCTCAATCATCGACTGACCGACTTAGCGTTCGTTATACTCACTTAGCGCGGAAAGAGGTGGGGGGGGGGCAGGGCAAGACGTGCCACACATGCTTTTTGTAGTATGGGTGACTCCGTTCTTACAACAGTCATAACTAACAGACCACGTCGTACATCCCCAGCGTGGGGAGGGTCGTAAATGGTTGCTAGGGGAGAGCGGTCGTATTTGGTCTGAGGATTTTTTTTGATTTCTTTTGTTTCACGGAGGCAGTAAGGGGGAGAGGATCGGGGTCGTAGTTGCCTTTGAGAGGAATTTAATGCGTTGGAAAAAAATTTTCCTCTATTGTTGACTTTTCGCGGTCTATTTTGTTTCACATGTGCTATACGGTAGATAGGGAGAGGAAGGTCATCCTAAATGGGTAGTAATTCCGAAGATTTTCCCCAGGCAGCAGAACGTACCCTCAAAGGCGATTGACGTCACTGCTTCACGCTTAACGGCAGTGGGCACGATGGTTGGGGGCGGGCGGTTGCTGTCGACGTCATTGGTGGAAGGGATGAGTGGGGTATGTCTAAACACCCTCTCGCAGCCCAATTTGAAGGTAGTGGGCACGATGGCTGTAAGCAGGCGGCGTTGGCAGCAACCGCCTGCTTACAGCCATCGTGCCCACTACCTTCAAATTCACTTCCAAATGTCAGTGGTTAGGGGACTGGGGTGAGAGTAAAGTTAAGAATATGAAACTGTTGGGGCTAGTTACCCTAGCAGTAAGTAACAAAAAATAATGAGCCGTCGAAAACGCTCGACTATGAATTCGTTGATCTTGAGCACTAGACGAGTATGCGTTTCCTAGCGTGCGGGCGAGAAACGAGACGACCGGGCGGAAGATCGTAGTGGAAAAGACAGTTAAGACTTTATATTTCGCGTGGAACTAGACCGAGGAAGCTGTGGTAAGAGGTCAGCCGGCGTTCTTACCTCGCCCCTTCGAGTGGCCAACTGGTATACTGCGTGTGACTATGGGCCGGGTCACCGCGATCAACTAGTGGGAACGTTATTTTACCCACCATGTGGTTGCGGGATGTACTAGACCGAGGAAGCGGTGGTAAGAGGTCAGCCGGCGTTCTTACCTCGCCCCTTCGAGTGGCCAACTGGTATACTGCGTGTGACTATGGGCCGGGTCACCGCGATCAACTAGTGGGAACGTTATTTTACCCACCATGTGGTTGCGGGATGTACTTTTATCATCATTAATAGTCCCCTTCCCCCTCCCGCTCCTGAAGCCAAACCAAGTTGATTACTTCCCAGCACCAAATGAATCACAAACCTTTTCATTTCTTGCGGACTGTTCACTCTCCTTCTGTTCCATTGTTAAACAAATCTTCTCGTACATCTCTCGTAAACTAAAAAAGCTGAATTAGGAGCACACTGTATCAGAACGATTTCAATGATCCTACCCGTCTTTCTCCTCTTCAGTTGTCTTGAGGTCGATCGTGAGCGTGTCGGCCTTCGTCATCAACTCGAAATTTGTGCAGCGTATCGCATCGAGTTCTTCTGCGGCTTCGGCTGCTTTCCTCTTCACCTGTTCCAGTTCATCCCTTAGGGCGTTGATTTGTAGCTCCTCAGCACGCAGACGAGCTATTTCAGCATCTTGTTCAGCAACTGAAATTCCTGCGTGTGAGATAATACACTCCTAAGTGAGAATCTTGCAAAGTTACCTCGACTTCTCAACTGCTCCAGTTCGGCATTCGGATATGTCTGTCCCGGTGGAATACTTCCACTGCGCCATTGCTCCCTGCTCTCAACTGATGAACTCCTTCTCCTTGACAGCTCTTCTTGAGCGTTGCGCAACTCGTCTAGTAATCGAGCTGCCTCTGTAAATTGAGCCACTTACTGAAGCGCAGATCTCTATGGGCAATGATTTGTGAGCCAAATGCAATATAAAATTCATTTGTATCAAATCTCGAATGTGATTAGAACAAACTCTACAATTTCCCTACTAAACGAAACGTCAAACGTTTCGGGAGCAGAAATGTCAACAGAATCACCGATGCATGGCTCACTCCGAGCGTTTTGTTCGTCATTCTATACGCAGTTCGCTTCAAAACTCTTCTCTTTTTGTCTTACTTTCTTGTTCATTACAACAAATGGGCGCAGGTCGGTTTGGGGGCACGGAATGATAGTCAGCTAACAGCTTGCACAGGGCACCCTGTGGTGATCAGGGAAGTTCTGCAACAAAGCGGCTCATTAGTGCCAGTT